AAACAGTCGAAATATTTTATCAGTTTTTCTCAATTTTTGCATGATATTTTCATACAGGACATCTGTTGTGTTCAAACTCAGGGAAGACTTTATACTGATGAACAAGGTGACCAAGTTTGATGAAGTTTGGAATAGAATTAGTAAAGTTATCATGCACACAATAACAATTATTAACGACGACGACAACGCCGGACAAAATCTTTCCCTTAATATACCTTTCCCTTCCATCTTTGATGGTACGGGCAAGGTAAAAATGGCTGCCACAAGGGTTTGCGCGGACTCCACACAAAGAAGTTCGTTGAATATGTTCTAAACATTTTGGATTTCGGCATTTCCATAATGTATCCTTAGAAGGAAAAGATGTATAATAATAATGTTATTACAAGGATACCTCAAAGTATAGCATCAAACTCCGCGGCACGACGGTTGATACTCTTGGTGTACTATCTTTGTGCATACTTTGAGGTATCCTCGTAATAACCTCATAGTATGACTAAGGTCACACAATCTCTGAGCATCAGTCACATATAATATTAGCTAAACTGCTGGTACAAGCAACACCAGAATATGTACAAGGTGAAAATAGAAGCCAAGATCTTCAAAAAGTGAGGTAGGCCAGGTAGCTTTAACCATGCTTTAAGTACATCATTCTATGTTCAATACATACATGTGGTAGCTAACAAAACATTTATCAAAGCCCAGCTAGTGCTCAGTAAGACAAGTAATGCTATCAATTACAAGCAAAGAAAGCAGAATCAACTTACCAATTCCGCTCCAGCAGCCAAGAGTACATCAGCGACATCAGTATGGCCATTCTCACAGGCCAAGGTCAAGGCAGTGTCGCCTGTACCAGTCTGGGCATGCACACTTGCACCAGTTTCTAGAAATGAGCATGAATTAATGGGTAGAACAAGATTACTATAGATAGACAAAGTCTCACAACTCCCAAATCATTACCGTTAAAATCCTATTATAAACCGCATACCTAATAGTAACCGCACCCTCAATTTCGGCTTCAGTGTTAAAGAGTTCTCAACAAAAATTGAAAACATGAAAAGTACCTACTGCTAACCGCACCCCAAATTCAACAAGACCGTGACTGACTTTGTTTCAACCAGCTGGTACATTGTTCCTAATCCTATTCATTTGTTTCGACAACGTGCCTAAAAATATTCACACATCTTTATTGTTCAGTAGTGATAGGATGTCAAACACGCAGTGAAACTGCTTTTGTTCTTGCGACAACTTTTGTCAATACTCCTTATGAATACGTCTGTGACGTCTTTCGACAATGAGCTGTTATCACCGAAAACTGTTAAATTCTTTTTCAATGCTCAGTTTATCTTTCAAAAACAACTAATTTCTTGATTTAAAAAAAAAATCATGTCGTTTTCCCATGGAAATCAAAGCCAAACTACATTATCGGTAAATCACTTCCGTGTTTCGTTCACCATGAAGTCGGTGACCTGTCATTAACATATTTAAACAAGTCATTGTCAATGACACGTCCCCGTTCTGTTCATATTTGAGTGACATATACATTCAAAGCAGATCATGACCGAAATGCACCTGCATATGTACAACACATTGTGCTAAATCTGAACAAAATCCATCCATGCATGACTGAGATCCGGTTCTGGAATTGTGAAAATACGTGATTTTGATGCATTTTCGGCCTTAAAATGGCCATCATTCCACTATTGTTAAGCAGATCATGAAACAAATGCACATCTCTATTTGTGACATGATGTACCATGTGTGTGTGAA